TCCAAAAAATATTGCTATCAGGTTGTAAATCACAGCTGGCCTAGTACATTGTTTGCTGCCTAATAGTTAGTCAAGTACACTCTAGATAACATGTAAACAGCCTAACCAGCTCTGCTACAGCGAATAAAATGGTCAGAGTGAGGTGTTCTCTCATTTGTGTCTTGAAGTAGCTAGCTAGCAAGCTAGCCAACTTTAGCCAGTTAGCTTGGGTGCTTGGTTAGGACAAGCAGGCATTGGCAGGCAAGCTGCAGAAGGACGAGGAGGCTACAATTCCCCATCGTTTATCAATGCAATTTTGACAGCCAACTAGCTGAAAAAGTTTGAGTGGGTGTTCCTACCTTCTTTCGATTTTAGCTGCTCTGGCTAGCATTAGTTGTTGATCTTGTTGACGTGCATAACTGTGGGAACGACAGCCTACATTTTCATGGTTTTTTGATCAATAGGACTGTAAAGTTCCCAAATGTAAGAGGACTCCCATGGTGTTCACATATTTGCAGAAATCCATTCAGGTATTTTTTGTAGCTTTTGGCGAACGTGATCTAATGATCTAAAGTCACGCTGTTGCAACTGCCTGTAAACACACAGTCCAGTTCAAGGTGAATGATGGCAGGCCTGTGTGGCAAATGGCTTGTTTGTATATAGGCCTACTGTAGCTCTGATTGGCTACAGCACACAGGTCTGTGTAGACTCCGGTCCTGGAAAAGACAGATGTTTTTATTCAGTTTTATTTACTGCAATGTCTATTAATTGCCCAGACGCACAGCCGCTTTCCCACTCTATATTATGATAGAATTTTCACAAATGCCTTCTTCTATAGTTCATTTGGAAAGTATTCAGACCACTTCCCTTTTCCCACATTGTTACGTTACAGCCTTATTCTAAAATGGATTAAATGATTTTTTCACATCAATCTACACACAATACCCCATATTGACAAATTGAAAATAGGTTTTTAGAAATGTTTGCAAAATTATTAAAAATAAACTGAAATACCTTATTTACATAAGTATTCAGACCCTTCGCTATGAGACTCGAAATTGAGCTCAGGTGCATCCTGTTTCCATTGATCATCCTTGAGATGTTTCTACAACTTGATTGGAGTCCACCTGTGGTAAATTCAATTGATTGGACATGATTTGGAAAGACACACGAGGTCGAAAGGAATTGTCCGTAGAGCTCCGAGACAGGATTGTGTCGAGGCACAGATCTGGGGAAGGGTACCAACACATTTCTGCAGCATTGAAGGTCCCCAAGAGTACAGTGGCCTCCATCATTCTTAAATGGAAGAAGTTTGGAACCACTAAGACTCTTCCTAGAGCTGGCATCCCGGCCAAACTGAGCAATCGGGGGAGAAGGGCCTTGGTCAGGGAGGTGACCAAGAACCTGATGGTCACTCTGACAGAGCTCCAGAGTTCCTCTGTGGAGATAGGAGAACCTTCCAGAAGGACATCCATCTCTGCAGCATTCCACAAATCAGGCCTTTATGGTAGGGTGGCCAGCTAGAAGCCACTCCTCAGTTAAAGGCACGACAGCCTGCTTGGAGTTTGCCAAAAGGCACCTCAGACCATGAAAAACAAGATTATCTGGTCTGATGAAACAAAGATTGAAATCTTTAGCCTCAATGCCAAGCGTCACGTCTGGAGGAAACCTGGCACCATTCCTTTGTTGAAGCATGGTGATGGCAGCATCATCTTTTAGGGATGTTGTTTTTTGCGGCAGGGACTGGGAGACTAGTAAGGCTTGAGGAAAAGATGAACGAAGCAAAGTACAGAGAGATCCTTGATGAAAACCTGCTCCAGAGCACTCAGGACCTCAGACTGGGGCGAACGTTCACTATCCAACAGGACAACGACCCTACGCACATAGCCAAGACAACGCAGGAGTGGCTTCGGGACAAGTCTCAATGCCCTTGAGTTGCCAAGCCAGAGCCCGGACTTGAACCCAATCAAACATCTCTGGAGAGACCTGAAAATAGCTGTGCAGCGACGCTCCCCATCAAACCTGACAGAGCTTGAGAGGATCTGCAGAGAAGATTGGGAGAAACTCCCCAAATACAGGTGTGCCAAGCTTGTAGCGTCAAACCCAAGACTCGAGGCTGTAATCGCTGCCAAAGTGCTTCAACAAAGTACTGCGTAAAATGAATAATTATGTAAATGTGATTTCTAAACCAGTTTTTGCTTTATCATTATGGAGTATTGTGTGTAGATTGAGGAATACATTTTTTTTTAGAATAAGGCTGTAAGGTAACAAAATGTGGAAAAAGGGGTCTGAATACTTTGAGAGGAACTATTCAAGGCGATATGGGCTGGAAAACTATATTGTATCACCAGTATTTTATTTTAATTGGCAGAGACTTTCCAGCATGCCAAATGAACGTCTATGTAAACATGTATTTTAAATGGGCTTGCAATGTTTCTACTGCAAATAATTTTTATATACCACGTCAAACCCTTTAACTCCAACCATATGACTCAGCTCACTGATAGAGTATATCCTAGAAATGACAGTAATGTTTTTGAATGAGCACTTTTAGAGCGCAATGAACTAAAGTGGTAACTGATAAATTAACCTGAAAGTAACAAACTGCGCACCTACTGCCTATTTAAATGCACTTTGGGGATATAACCTTATGTACGTACTGTTTTATACCAGCAATATCGAAGCTCTTTTGCAAAATGCAAATGTGGAGTGGCCCATCTCGCTATAGAGTCTGGTTGATACACAAACACTCCCCTAGATTAACGTGCATGTACTTTTTGTAATGATGATTCCATTGAAACTGAAGCTCATGCCTTACTGTAAATGCCTGCGCCAAAGCCTGCCATCTTATCCTCCAATGGAGATGTTTATTTATAAGTGCCTAAATGTCCTTTTATCACTTTACTTTGTTCATTTTTTTGTTTATGCATTCATGTGTATAGGTGTCATGTTTTATAGATGACGCTTGCACCATGTTTGACCATTATTGTTTTTTAGTGTCTCAAAACTCAGTTTGAGTTGTCCACAATGTCATTTTAAAATTAAATACATGTTTCTAACTAACACAAACATACACACAAACCCATCTGGCTGATCTGATCCTAGTACCCCCATGCTGGAGCTGACAGGGGGCTCTCGCAGCAGATATGCCCATGAGGAAGACCGGGTCAGACACCCTGGACCTCCAGGAGAGGAGACCATGCCAGCAGCAGCAGCCTGAAGGCAGGACAGTTCCCTGCACATCAGTCCTCTGTCTCTGAGAGAAAAGCGAGTGACAGGTGTTGCGTTGCAATGGAGGGAGGAGAGAAAGAGAGTGAGAAAGAGAGCAGGAGAAAGCGATAGAGGGTGGGCAGAAATGAGAGAGAAGTGGCTCAGCAGCAGTAGACAAAAAGTAGCATCATCTCTGAATCTTAATAAAGTCAGCACAGTTGATGTAATCCTCCTGGGTTCTCCTCCCTAAACACTTAGCCTTTCTGCCTCTCCCTTCTCACTCATCATATCCCCCTTTTTCCTCTACACCCTTCCTACCTCCTTTCCTTCTGTATAAATCATTTCCCAGTTCACCCTGCTCAAGTCTGGCATTTCTCAGGCCTGTAGGACGTGACTGTCTTCTCTTCCTCTCAACCTCTAAGTGAAAAGAGTAAGAGCGGTAATGGGTAGAGGAGACTGCAATATAGGAGGACAAGGAATGATTCACAAATTCACAGGAAAAACACACAATGGGTAATTGGGCATCACCGTCCTTTACTTCCAGTAGCCATGGAAACACAACTTCATTGGCTACAAGGGATAATAGCCCTGGGCAAATCTCCACTGACAACCTAAACCTAGGCTATTCCCCCTCCACTTAGTAGTGCACTATATGGGGAACAGGGTGTCATTTAATGTAGTGCACTCTGCGGGGGATATGGTGTTATTTTAGAGTTGTGCACTATAGGGAATAAGGTGTAATTTGAGACAAGCGGTGTGTGTCAAAGAATCCTCATATTTCCCCGTCCCTCTAGCTTGTGGGAAGACACGTCCGCATAAACATACTGCAGGCCTACTGTGAGAATGGAATAACACTAGTGTGACTAACTTAAAAACTAAGGAACTCAGGCATTCTGATGTTTGTCTGACACAGGATAAGTTGTGGAGTCACCTTGTGAGAGCATAACAGATTGAGATGTAGATGTGCTTCAAACAGCTGTTCCCCTCTTTCCAAACCAACCAGCTGAATGACTCACTCAAGATACTCAGAGGAATAACTAGGCGGAAGTCAAAAATAAAATTTTTAAAAAATGACGGCAATCTGCCAGTGCCTGTAGGAGTCAGTACGTTTCATAGAATACGTTTCACTAATAAATATTAAACTGATTACGGCAGTAGGCCGAGTATGGCATTAGTCATGTAAACGCCTTACACTGCTTACCTTAAAATCACCACGTGGTCATAATCGAAATAAGTATATGCCGATTAAAACCTGGTTTTCGGAGCAATCTTTTCAATTATTAGGACATGTAAACACCTTAAATCGGCGTTTCAGCAGTGTATTTGATCTGCGCATGGAATAGCAGCGAGCCTCCCTCTTTAGCGCGAGTGAAGTGAGTTCAGAACCACATAAAGTATGCATCTTAGTACTTCACACATACAAACTGTATATGTCCGAACTCCGAATAAAAATAGGCTTCCCAAAAATAACATGGTCGGTCTGGTACAACCTATATTTTGATTCAGGTAGCCTGATATCATGTGTCCATGTAAACATTAGGGAAATTGTTATTCTTGCAAAGCATGTGAACGTTTTTAAATCAAACTATTATATTAATCTGACTACCCACAATAATTGTATTGTGTGCATGTAACCGTACTCATTATATAGGATGAGTATGGAACATCTGCAGCGAAACACAGAACTGGGATAATCTGATGGTAAATGGCACCCTCTGCTGGTGACTGGCCACCAGTAGCAGAAGCAAGTCATATTGCGAAATCTGTGATACATATCCAGTACATAACACAAGCCACCATAAGGAAGACTGTCAGAAAAGGGGCCGGTTTCCCAGATCAAAGACGTCCAACATCACCACCACAATCTACACATCACCACTGAAAAAGCAAGATGAGTTAAAGAGTTTATTGGTTTGATAAGAGGGGTAACTGGACCAAGTGTAACATTGTACCGTACATACATCAACGTAAACTGCTGTTTGAATAGAATTGCTTGAAAAATAACATTGTGTCCCACACCGTAAAGCCTAGGCCTTTGGTAAGTTGAAAACAATAACTGGTACTGTCAGCACAGACTGACATTGAGGTTAGCAGGTTAGATAATTAAGTTGACGCTAGTATGAGATAAAGAATTGGACAGCAAAGAAATCATAAAAGGAAACCAGAAAGTGCAGATGAGCACAACATTCTAATTTAGAAACCCCAACAAGAGCATTGTGATTCCTGACATGTCTAAACCCACTTAATCCCATTCTAAAGAAGCTGGAATCTTTCAGAGTGAATGTAAAGTAATAGGTGTGTTTTGGTGGTGTGTGTGTGTGTATGTATGTATGTATGTATGTATATGATAGATAGAGGGTGTGTGTTTGTGTGTATATTTATATATACACACACCGCACCAGTCAAAAGTTGACACCTCTCATTCCAGGGTTTCTTTATTTTTACTATTTTCTACATTGCAGAATAATAGTGAAGACATCAAAACTATGAAATAACACATATGGAATCATGTAGTAACCAAAAGTGTTAAACAAAGCAAAATATATTTTATATTTGAGATACTTCAAAGTAGCCACCCTTTGCCATGATGACAGTTTTGCACACTCTTGGCATTCTCTCAACCAGCTTCATGAGGTAGTCACCTGGAATGCATTTAAACTAACAGGTGTGCCTTGTTAAAAGTTAATTTACGTTTGAGCCAATCAGTTGTGTTATGACAAGGTAGGGGTGGTATAGAGAAGATAGCCCTATTTGGTAAAAGACCAAGTCCATATTATGGCAAGAATAGCTCAAATAAGCAAAGAGAAACGACAGTCCATCACTTTAAGAGATGAAGGTCATTCAAGCCGGAAAATTAAAGAACTTTGAAAGTTTCTTCAAGTGCAGTCGCAAAAACCATCAAGCGCTATGATGAAACTGGCTCTCATGAGGACCGCCACAGGAAAGGAAGACCCAGAGTTACCTCTGCTGCAGAGGATAAGTTCATTATAGAGTTAACTGCACCTCAGATTGCAGCCTACATAAATGCTTCACAGAGTTCAAGTAACATACACATCAACATCAACTGTTCAGAGGAGACTGGTGAAAATCAGGCCTTCATGGTCGAATTGCTGCAAAGAAACCACTACTAAAAGGACACCAATAAGAAGAGACTTGCTTGGGCCAAGAAACACAAGCAACGGACATTAGACCGGTGGAAATCTGTCATTTGGTCTGTCTTTGTGAGACGCAGAGTAGGTGAACGGATTATCTCTGCATGCGTGGTTTACACCGTGAAGCATGTAGGAGGTGGTGTGATGTGTGGGGGTGCTTTGCTGGTGACACTGTCAGTGATTTATTTAGAATCAGCATGGCTACCACCACATTCTGCAGCAATACGCCATGCCATTTGGTTTATGCATAATGGGACTATGATTTGTTTTTCAACAGGACAATGACCCAAAACACACCTCCAGGCAGTGTAAGGGCTATTTGACCAAGAAGGAAAGTGATGGAGTGCTGCATCAGATGACCTGGCCTCCACGATCACCCGACCTCAACCCAATTGACATGGTTTAAGATGAGTTGGACAGTGGAGTGAAGGAAAAGCAGCCAAGTGCTCAGCATATGTGGGAACTCCTTCAAGACTGTTGGAAAAGCATTCCTCATGAAGCTGGATGAGAGAATGCCAAGAGTGTGCAAAGCAGTCATCAAGGCAAAGGGTGGCTACTTTGAAGAATCTAAAATATATTGATTTGTTTAACACTTTTGGTTACGACATGTTATTTCATAGTTTTGATGTCTTCACTATTATTCTACAATAAGAAAAGCCCTTGAATGAGTAGGTGTCCAAACTTTTGACTGGTACGGTACGGTGTGTATGTATGTATATATATATTTTAGTGTGGCAGCTCGTGGGGCACCAGTTTGTAGTGGGAGCCACAGGAGGGACAGCGCTGAGCCTCGCCCTGATGGAGCCAGAACCACACCACTGCTGTGTTATCCTCCTCACCTAGAGATGGAGAGAGAGAAGAGAGCGGGAGAGAGTGTTTGAAGGAGAGAGTTTAGATATGAGCAGAGATCACAACAATCAGACAGCCAAGACAAATCAGAGAAATATGGCTTCTGGCAACAGACAGCTCCCAGACAGCTGTTGCAAGACTAATATGAAGCAAGTCACGTACAGACACAGCCCACAATCCTCTTGGTGGTGATGGAGGGCACCAGATGAGGGTCGGCCTTGGAGCCAGCATACTCCTTGGGTTTCAGCATGCTGTAGGGGTCCTGGAAGGAATTCAAACAAGGCAGGTTCAATAATATACTTATATGGTATGAGAGTGAACTACAATAAGGGCAAAGCCCTCTAAGAAACCTTGTAAGGATCCTAGCTAAGTTAGCCAAGTACCAGCAAATCACATGTTATTTGTCACATGCTTCGTAAAAAAATTGCCACATGCGCCGAATATAACAGGTGTAGACATTACAGCGAAATGCTTACTTACAAGCCCTTAACCAACAATGCAAAGTAAAAAAATAAAATAATAATTCAGCAAATAACTAAAGAGCAGCAGTAAAATAAAATAATATTAGGGAGGCTATATACAGGGGGGTACCGGTGCAGAGTCAATGTGCGGGGGCACCAGCTAGTCGAGGTAATATGTACATGTGGGTAGAGTTAAAGTGACTATGCATAAATAATAAACAGAGTAGCAGCAGAGTAAAAGAGGGGGGCAGTGCAAATTGTCCGGGTAGCCATGATTAGCTGTTCAGGAGTCGTATGTCTTGGGGGTTGAAGCTGTTGAGAAGCCTTTTGGACCTAGACTTGGCACTCTGGTACCGCTTGCCGTAGAACAGTCTATGACTAGGGTGGCTGGAGTCTGACAATTTTGAGGGCCTTCCTCTGACACCGCCTGGTATTGAGGTCCTGGATGGCAGGAAGCTTGGCCCCAGTGATATACTGGGCCATACGCACTACCCTCTGTAGTGCCTTGCGGTCAGAGGCCGAGCAGTTGCCATACCATGTGGTGATGCAACCAGTCAGGATGCTCTCGATGGTGCAGCTGTATAACTTTTTGAGGATCTGAGGACCCATTCCAAATGTTTTCAGTCTCCTGAGGGGGAATAGGCTTTGTCGTGCCCTCTTCACGACTGTCTTGGTGTGTTTGGACCATGATAGTTCGTTGGTGATGTGGACACCAAGGAACTTGAAGCTCTCAACCTGTTCCACTACAGCCCCGTTGATGACATTGATCACATTGAGGGAGAGGTTGTTATCCTGGCACTACACCTATAGGCTGTCTCATCGTTGTCGGTGATCAGGCCTACCACTGTTGTGTCGTCGGCAAACGTAATGATGGTGTTGGAGTCGTGCCTGGCCATGCAGTCATGGGTGACCAGGGAGTACAGGAGGGGACTGAGCACGCACCCCTGAGGGGCCCCCCGTGTTGAATATCAGAGTGGCGGATGTGTTGTTACCTACCCTTACCACCTAGGGGGCGGTCCGTCAGGAAGTCCAGGATCCAGTTGCAGAGGGAGGTGTTTAGTCCCAGGATTCTTAGCTTAGTGATGAGCTTTGAGGGCACTAGGGTGTTGAACGCTGAGCTGTAGTCAATGAATAGCATTCTCACGTAGGTGTTCCTCTTGTCCAGGTGGGAAAGGGCCCTGTGAATGCTTAAAAGTCTTACTCACATCAGCTACGGAGAGCGTGATCACATAGTCATCCAGAACAGCTGGTGCTCTCATGCATGCTTTAGTGTTGCTTGCCTCGAAGCGAGCATAGAAGTGATTTAGCTCGTCTGGTAAGCTTGTGTCACTGGGCAGCTCACGACTGTGCTTCCCTTTGTAGTCTGTAATAGTTTTCAAGCCCTGCCACATCCGACGAGCGTCAGAGCCGGTGTAGTACGAAACAGGTGTAGACTAACAGTGAAATGCTTAATTACAGGCTCTTGTCAATGCAGAGAGAAGAATAAGAGGAATGAATACACAATGAGTAACGATAACTTGGCTATATACACACAGGGTACCTGTACAGAGTCAATGTGCAGGGGTATGAGGTAATTGAGATAGATACACACTATATTTCACAAAAGTATGTGGACAGCCCTTCAAATTAGTGGATTTGGCCATTTCAGCCACATGTATAAAATAGAGCACACAGCCATGCAATCTCCATTGACAAACTTTGGCAGTAGAATGGCCTTACTGAAGAGCTCAGTGACTTTCAATATGGCACTGTCATAGTATGCCACTATTCAAACAGGTCAGTCGTCAAATTTCTGACCTGCTAGAGCTGTCCCGGTCAACTGTAAGTGCTGTTATTGTGGAAACGTCAAGGAGCAGTGGTAGCCCACACAAGCTTACAGAACGGGACTGCAGAGCGCTGAAGCGCGTAAAATTAGTCTGTCCTTGCTTGCGACACTCACTACCGAGTTCCAAAATACCTCTGGAAGCAACATCAGCACAAGAACTGTTTGTCGGGAGCCTCATGAAATGGCTTTCTATCACGCGTCACCATCTGGCAGTGATGTGTACACCGAGGAACTTGACGCTCTCGACCCGCTCCACTACAGCCCCGTCGATGTGACTGGGGGCGTGCTCAGTCCTCTTTTTTTTCCTGTAGTCCACGATCAGCTCCTTTGTCTTGTCTCTGACCACCTCCCTATAGGCCATCTCATCAGTGATTAGGCCTACCACCGTTGTGTCGGTGCAAACTTAGTGTTGAAGTCGTGCGCGGCCACGCAGTCGTACAGGAGGGGACTAAGCACACACCTCTGAGGGGGCCCTGTGGTTTAGGGTCAGCGTAGCAGATGTGCTGCCTACCCTCACCACCTGGGGGGTGGTCCGTCAGGATGTCCATGATCCAGTTGCAGAGGGAGGTGTTTAGTCCCAGGGTCCTTCGCTTAGTGATGAGTTTGGAGGGTGCTATGGTGTTGAACGGGGGGGGGGGGGGGGGGGGGGTTTTTAAAAGGGCAATGTGCAATTGCTACATCCATTTTCTTACTTGTGTGTGATATATACTCATCGATTCTTGAATATAACAAATGCCTCGTGAGCTTAGTTCAGCTGTCGTACCCCATCAGAACTCAAAATATAAGCTTTTACTCCAATGTTTGTTAACATTGTAAATGTAAACCAACACTAGGCCTATATAGCCTCAAAACGAATGTACACTGCTCAAAAAAATAAAGGGAACACTTAAACAACACAATGTAACTCCAAGTCAATCACACTTTTGTGAAATCAAACTGTCCACTTAGGAAGCAACACTGATTGACAATAAATGTCACATGCTGTTGTGCAAATGGAATAGACAACAGGTGGAAATTATAGGCAATTAGCAAGACACCCCCAATAAAGAAGTGGTTCTGCTGGTGGTGACCACAGACCACTTCTCAGTTCCTATGCTTCCTGGCTGATGTTTTGGTCACTTTTGAATGCTGGCGGTGCTTTCACTCTAGTGGTAGCATGAGACGGAGTCTACAACCCACACAAGTGGCTCAGGTAGTGCAGCTCATCCAGGATGGCACATCAATGCGAGCTGTGGCAAGAAGGTTTGCTGTGTCTGTCAGCGTAGTGTCCAGAGCATGGAGGCGCTACCAGGAGACAGGCCAGTACATCAGGAGACGTGGAGGAGGCCAACAACCCAGCAGCAGGACCGCTACCTCCACCTTTGTGCAAGGAGGAGCACTGCCAGAGCCCTGCAAAATGACCTCCAGCAGGCCACAAATGTGCATGCGTCTGCTCAAACGGTCAGAAACAGACTCCATGAGGATGGTATGAGGGCCCGACGTCCACAGGTGGGGGTTGTGCTTACAGCCCAACACCGTGCAGGACGTTTGGCATTTGCCAGAGAACACCAAGATTGGCAAATTCGCCACTGGCGCCCTGTGCTCTTCACAGATGAAAGCAGGTTCACACTGAGCACATGTGACAGACGTGACAGAGTCTGGAGACGCCGTGGAGAACGTTCTGCTGCCTGCAACATCCTCCAGCATGACCGGTTTGGCGGTGGGTCAGTCATGGTGTGGGGTGGCATTTCTTTGGGGGGCCGCACAGCCCTCCATGTGCTCGCCAGAGGTAGCCTGACTGCCATTAGGTACCGAGATGAGATCCTCAGACCCCTTGTGAGACCATATGCTGGTGCGGTTGGCCCTGGGTTCCTCCTAATGCAAGACAATGCTACACCTCATGTGGCTGGAGTGTGTCAGCAGTTCCTGCAAGAGGAAGGCATTGATGCTATGGACTGGCCCGCCCGTTCCCCAGACCTGAATCCAATTGAGCACATCTGGGACATCATGTCTCGCTCCATCCACCAACGCCACGTTGCACCACAGACTGTCCAGGAGTTGGCGGATGCTTTAGTCCAGGTCTGGGAGGAGATCCCTCAGGAGACCATCCACCACCTCATCAGGAGCATGCCCAGGCGTTGTAGGGAGGTCATACAGGCACATGGAGGCCACATACACTACTGAGCCTCATTTTGACTTGTTTTAAGGACATTACATCAAAGTTGGATAAGCCTGTAGTGTGGTTTTCCACTTTAATTTTGAGTGGGACTCCAAATCCAGAACTCCATGGGTTGATACATTTGATTTCCATTGATAACTTGTGTGATTTTGTTGTCAGCACATTCAACTATGTAAAGAAAAAAGTATTTAATAAGATTATTTCATTCATTCAGATCTAGGATGTGTTGTTATTTTAGTGTTCCCTTTATTTTTTTGAGCAGTGTATATATATTGGATGGTCAGTCCTTGCATCCATTGCTCTATGAATTTGAGAGTGGTTTTATTTCTCCAGGCCCATCACTCAACTTTTAACCAAAACAGAGGCAAGGAAACCGCTTTATTATTTCAACTGCTGATTGCTGCTTTAAGGTCTACGTCCCGTTTAAAAATGTGTGATGGCAGTGCAGCAATGGTAGCTTCCTCTGTGTTATCACTCTTTCATCCCTCCATCCCAATCATTTTTTCCCATAGAGATTTTACCCTGACAAACAACGTCAGTATACAACAAGTTATTGCTCACGTATACCCTTTAAATCAGATATCATTGGAAAGATTAGTCAGTTATCCATCAGACACATTTTTCAGAATGGTCAGATCAACAGAACTTTGACCTCTAGAGTACATACCAGAATTACCTGTATAATTGTCTTTAAAAATGGAAACTCAAACATTTTAAACTTTGTTAGACAAGTGGTTCTGAAAAGTCATGAAATTACCATCCAAATAATAGTATTCATACCCCTGAACTTAATCCACATTGTTTTAAAGTGAAAACGTTAGAAATATTAGCAAATTTACTGAAAATGAAATACCGAAATCTCAGTGTTCACACCCGAGTCAATACTTTGTAGAAACACCTTTGACAGCGATTACAGCTGAGTCTTTCTGGCTAAGTCTCCAAGAGCTTCCACACTTCGATTGTGCAACATTTGCCCATTATTATTTTCAAAATTCTTCAATCTCTGCCAAATTAGTTGTTGATCATTGCTAGAAAAAAAAATGTCAGGTCTTGCCCCAGATTTTCAAGTAGATTTAAGGCAACTGGTAACTCGGACACTCAGGAACATTCACTGTCTTTGTAAACAACTCAAGTGTAGAGTTCGCCTTGTGTTTTAGGTTATTGTCCTGCTGAAAGATGAATTCATCTCCCAGTGTCTGGTGGAAAGCAGACAGCCAGGTTTCCCTCTAAGATTTTGCCTGTGCTTAGATCCATTCCATTAATTTTTTATCCTTAAAAACACCCCAGTCCTTAACAATTACACGCACACCCATAACATGATGCAGCCACCACTATGCTTGAAAATATGGAGTGGTACTCAGTAATGTGTTGTATTGGATTTTCCCCAAACATAGCACTTTGTATTCAGGTCAAAAGGTTTTGCTTTGCCACATTTCTTGCAGTATTACTTTAGTGACTTGTTGCAAAGAGGATGCATGTTTTGGAATAGTTGTATTCTATACAGGCTTCCTTCTATTCACTATCAATTGGATTAGTATTGTGGAGTAACTACAATGTTGTTGATCCATCCTCAGTTCTACCATCACAGCCATTAAACTAACTGTTTTAAAGTCACCATTGGCCTCATGGCGAAATCCCTGAGCAGTTTCCTTCCTGTCCATCAACTGAGTTCGGAAGGACGCCTGTCTCTTTGTATTGACGGTGTATTGATACACCATCCAAAAGTGTAAAATATATATTTAATGTCTGCACATTTTTTATTTTATCTACCAATAGGTGCCCTTCTTTGCGAGGCATTGGAAAAACTCCCTTGTCTTTGTTGTTGAATCTGTGAATTCACTGCTCGACTGAGGGACCACATTGTATGTGTGGGGTACAGAGATGGGGTAGTCATTCAAAAATCAGGTTAAAACACCATTATTGCACAGTTAGTCCACGCAATTTGCACACACAAAAAACCATACAATTTTTACTTCTGAAGTTATTTAGGCTTACCATAACAAAAGGGTTTGAATACTTATTGACATTTCAGCCTAATTCTTTTAATTAATTTCAAAAAAAAATATTTCAAATTCCATATTGAGGTATGTTGTGTGTGGATCAGTGACATTTACATTTTTGTCATTTAGCAGACGCTCTTATCCAGAGAGACTTACAGGAGCAATTAGGGTTAAGTGCCTTGCTCAAGGGCACATCGACAGATTTTTCACCTAGTCGGCTCGGGGATTAGAACCAGCGACCTTTCGGTTACTGGCACAACGCTCTTAACCACTAAGCTACCTGCCGCCCCAAATTGTATTCATTTTAAAATTATGGCTGTAACAAAATGTGGAAAAGTCAAGGTGTGAATACTTTCTGAAGGCACTTGTATATCGGTAACTTTTGCCTCCCTAAAATCCGTATCAGTCGCAAAAATCACATCGGTCGGGTTTTACTAGTGTCACTGGGCAGCTCGCGGCTGGATTTCCCTTTGTAAATCACCTGATCGTTTGCAAGCCCTGCCTAGGGCTTTTACGGCAACCGTATTACCGCCACACCGGCGGTCATGAGTCATGATGGCAGTCATATTCCACGTGACCGTTTAGTCATGGTAATTAGGTTCTCCAAGCTCTAATGCTGCCGATGGTCATTAGCAGCCTACTAAACTTGCTAACTGTCTGGTACTCAGCACTATTGTCCCTCTAGGCTGTGTTACAGCCGGGTGCAACTTTATTACACAGCGTACAGTAAGTGTATCTTTTGTACTTTAGAGATTCTCTCACTGGAATGAAAATTAAGTCCAAAGGTTTCCAAACCCGTATCGCAGAGTGGGGATTATTAACGTTTCTAACCAGTGATATGATTCCATGTGTTTTTTTTGTAGTTAGTTTGTGCAGGACATGCAACCTGACTCCCCCACTCTCGTTCTATTGATTTCAACGCGATAGAGTGATTGATAAGTGTTGCGTTTCTCTTTCCGTTTTGGCGACACCCATATCAATATGCATCACTCCAAAATGTAGCTGGTTGTCTTCAGCAGGTTGTCCTCTAACGAATGCTGTAAACAATATTTCCAGTTTCTGTGTGGTTTTTGAGTTGTTAGTTTCAACAGCGAACACTAATTAATATGAGTGATTTATTTCCACTTGTCAAAACATGTGTTTTGGTGCAAATGCAGTTTATAAGGTGCTCGTTAAAAAATTTAAATACAAGTAATATGATGACCAATGTAGCACATGTACGTTTAGGTTTTGAATATATCATGAACTGATTCTGCATATTAATTGATATAAACTGAACTTTGTTTTTTGCATTGGTCTATTTATCAAAAGGTTGTTGTCAACGGGATGCAGCGACAGCGTCATTTTCAACATATTATGTTTTAGGAATGTACTTTTAAAGCTTAACATTAAGTAGAAAACTATTGGAAATTAATTAGGAAAAAACTGCTAATGAGTGTGTTTTTTGGGGGGGGATGATCTACCAGAAATAAAATAAAAACGTGTTTGACTTACCCTGGCCTTGGGTTCTCGAGAGCTACATCAACGCTAGCGTTCTAACGTTAGCTAGGGCAAAACATCTGACGTTAAAGTATTATTTAAGAATATATATGTTGACGTACCGCGCCCTGTTGGGCAGCCTTCATAACGATCTTCTCCAGACCAGTGGCCTGCTCCTCGTCGGTGGGGATGCCTGAAAACATTTCATCATCAGTGTTTGCTAGCAAGTTTGGCTAACTAGCTAGTCAGGTAGCTAAGTGATTGGCATTAGCTAGCTAGCAAAATTAGCACTGGGCTACTTCCGCGCTAACCACACTCAATAATAAAGTCGACACTAAGCTAGAAGGCTAACGCACCATCTTTGGCTGAGGTCGCTATAAAGACATAATAGCTCAATATGGAAAAAAAAAAAAAAAAGTATATCTGCTCAGCTAGCTACTTCATGTGAACAAAAAACGGACGATATATTTAAAAACTATTTTTCTACAACGAATATTCTATGATAACCATCTAATGCTATACTGTTAGCTAGCTATGATAAATTGGATAGCTAGCCTTGCGCCATTACCTGGCATTGTCTGTCCTTGGCAAGACATCAAATCTGTCTAATATGATGCTTCTGCCCAAAACCTCTACATTACCGACTCACCTCCAGTAGCCATGCCGCGGGTGAGAGTAGGGACCGGGGCGGCTCGGCACGTTGTAGCGGCCCTGAAGGACGAGCGGAGCAGTAACCTTCCAGCCATTTCTCCTTCTGGTCAAAAATACAACTGGCAGCACGTTGATGACGTTTAATATTTGACGTCTTCTTCTTCTTTGGGATTTGGTTGGCGGATCGCATCCAACTTTTAGGTGCATACACCGCCACCTACTCTACTGGTGTGTGAGGCCATTCTCGGCCTACCTACATTATATTCTTAGGTACAACAATACAACATTGGGAAAAAGGAAAATTACCCTATTAGTCCCATTCCACAATTGAACTCTACCAAGTCCTACTCCAGACCAATGGTCTGAGGGGACATATCACTACCACTCAACACCCCCTGCAGCTGTTCTGTAGTAGATCTTCGCAATCCCAAGTACTTCTTTGCCGCTGCCACTACAACCTCTATTTTCTGTGACTTTCGATTAATCTCTGCAGTACAATTAACAACCATGGCTATAAATGCTAAAAAGCCCACCTTACTGAAGCACATATTATTCCCATTACTCTCTCTTGATCTCTGCCTACTCACAAGAATCCTCTCAGGATCTCTCACCCTATACTCACCTTCCACTAACACTTCACTGCTTCGGCATACAACACTTTCTGTACTACTCCAAACACTGGCAACCTTAATCTGCCTTTCTCTCACCGGACACCTCAGATCTCCAGCCCCATGGTCACCCCCACAACTTCCTCCACTGATACCGCACATTCCTTCGTCTCATGCCCTCCTGCACACATCTAGGCATCTCCCTCCTACACACTGCTGCAATATGCCCATAACCTTGACACCTAAAACACCATAATATTTTCGGAACATTAACTCTCACAGAATAACTGACACTTCCTACATTGACCTTATCTGGTAACAACTCTGCATCAAAGCTAAGCATGACATGTCTTCTCCTTTTCCCCACAGAATCTACCTCTCATTTACATTTTAGTCATTTAGCAGACGCTCTTATCCAGAGCGACTTACAGTTAGTGAGTGCATACATTTTTCATACTGGCCCCGTGGGAATCGAACCCACAACCCTGGCGTTGCAAACGCCATGCTCTACCAACTGAGCTACACGGGGCCCAAAGTTGTATTTTTTAGTGATCCAATTTACATTTTAGTCATTTAGCAGACGCACTTATCCAGAACGCCTTACAATTAGTGAGTGCATACATTTTTCATACTGGTCTCATTAGGCGGCGGGCATCACAGACACAGAGAATCTTCCATTTCAACTGCACCTCAACACTTAATGCCACCCCCGTTATCACTCCTTTCAACGGTGCCCTTCTCCGGAGAGCAAAGCACGTCACAATTCTTGTCCCTAATCTCGTAATCCGGAGTGCCCTCTCCCTCTGGGCAGGGGAAACACAATAAATCATCAGATGTCCACTGAGTTACCTTCAACTCAACAGTCCCCAACCTCTCCTCCACTCAACCTGACACCAGATATGGATCAACCAAAGAGCAAGGATCCATTCTCTCTACAAATCTCACTCCCACTGGGCCAAAGTCCTTATCATATCCTTGGGACGATGCCCGAACTCGACGATCCTCGCCTCAGGTACTTCACCCTAATTCTCAACAAGTTCCATCTCTGAACTACTGGTACACGCATCCCTGTTTTTGCACTTGACGCCCACCTTCCTCACCTCACTACTTCCCTCTGCACTCAATTTCTTCTCAGCAGTCATCACTGCACCTGCCACCACATTGAATTCATCCTCCTGTCCCATTTCCTCCTCAAGCTCTTCCAAAGGGTCTGTGCGATCCTCCAGTCCATATTCGCTAAAAACATTTTTATTGTCCATCATATTCTCCTTCACCAGCTCTTTCAGGTCTGTGTAATCCCCCACTCCATGTTTATTCATAATATGCTCCACTTCCTTCCTCATTTCCTTTTCCGCCATCTTCCCCACCCTGGCCTTCGCCCAACACCCTGACCGCCTCTCCTCCATCTTTCCTGCTACCGGTGTCCAAGACTCTGTTGTGGTGGGTCAGGGTCTGGGTTGACCTAGGTGACCGTTGCAGAGTGCTGACGCTTTCTTATTCTGTATTAGGGTGGTCCGCAAAGACATTTTATAGGTGCACGCCGCCACCTACTGTATTGCCTGTGTATCAGCCTACTATTCTATAGTATAAATCTACTCCACTTTGTGAAAAAATTGCCCTACCATCTAACCCTACACCCATTAAAACCTCTGCATCAAAACTCAGTAGTACAGACAGTGCCTTCTCTGTTTCACCACGCTCTCCACCGGGTCTGCGTCGCACCAAATGGCGGGCGTCACAGACACCGGGAATCTTCAACTTCTGTTGGCCCGCAACACTTAATACCACTCTAGTTATCACTCCTTTCAACGGCACCCTAATCTGGGGAGGAAAGCAAGTCACAGTTCTTGTCCCCAGTCGCATGGTGCGGAGCGCACACTCCCTCTGGACGGCAGAAACCCAAAGAAAATCTCACTCCCACTGGGCAAAAAAATATACACTGCTCAAAAAAATAAAGGGAACACTTAAACAACACAATGTAACTCCAAGTCAATCACACTTCTGTGAAATCAAACTGTCCACTTAGGAAGCAACGCTGATTGACAATAAATGTCACATGCTGTTGTGCAAATGGAATAGACAACAGGTGGAAACTATAGGCAATTAGCAAGACACCCCCAATAAAGAAGTGGTTCTGCAGGTGGTGACCACAGACCACTTCTCAGTTCCTATGCTTCCTGGCTGATGTTTTGGTCACTTTTGAATGCTGGCGGTGCTTTCACTCTAGTGGTAGCATGAGACGGAGTCTACAACCCACACAAGTGGCTCAGGTAGTGCAGCTCATCCAGGATGGCACATCAATGCGAGCTGTGGCAAGAAGGTTTGCTGTGTCTGTCAGTGTAGTGTCCAGAGCATGGAGGTCGCTACCAGGAGACAGGCCAGTACATCAGGAGACGTGGAGGAGGCCGTAGGAGGGCAACAACCCAGCAGCAGGACCGCTACCTCCGCCTTTGTGCAAGGAGGAGCAGGAGGAGCACTGCCAGAGCCCTGCAAAATGACCTCCAGCAGGCCACAAATGTGCATGTGTCTGCTCAAACGGTCAGAAACAGACTCCATGAGGGTGGTATGAGGGCCCGACGTCCACAGGTGGGGGTTTATGCTTACAGCCCAACACCGTGCAGGACATTTGGCATTTGCCAGAGAACACCAAGATTGGCAAATTCGTCACTGGCGCCCTGTGCTCTTCACAGATGAAAGCAGGTTCACACTGAGCACATGTGACAAACGTGACAGAGTCTGGAGACGCCGTGGAGAACGTTCTGCTGCCTGCAACATCCTCCAGCATGACCGGTTTGGCGGTGGGTCAGTCATTGTGTGGGGTGGCATTTCTTTGGGGGGCCGCACAGCCCTCCATGTGCTCGCCAGAGGTAGCCTGACTGCCATTAGGTACCGAGATGAGATCCTCAGACCCCTTGTGAGAACATATGCTGGTGCGGTTGGCCCTGGGTTCCTCCTAATGCAAGACAATGCTACACCTCATGTGGCTGGAGTGTGTCAGCAGTTCCTGCAAGAGGAAGGCATTGATGCTATGGACTGGCCCGCCCGTTCCCCAGACCTGAATCCAATTGAGCACATCTGGGACATCATGTCTCGCTCCATCCACCAACGCCAAGTTGCACCACAGACTGTCCAGGAGTAGGCGGATGCTTTAGTCCAGGTCTGGGAGGAGATCCCTCAGGAGACCATCCGCCACCTCATCAGGAGGATGCCCAGGCGTTGTAGGGAGGTCATACAGGCACATGGAGGCCACATACACTACTGAGCCTCATTTTGACTTGTTTTAAGGACATTACATCAAAGTTGGATCAGCCTGTAGTGTGGTTTTCCACTTTAATTTTGAGGGTGACTCCAAATCCAGACCTCCATGGGTTGATAAATTTGATTTCCATTGATCATTTTTGTGTGATTTTGTTGTCAGCACATTCAACTATGTAAAGAAAAAAGTATTTAATAAGATTATTTCATTCATTCAGATCTAGGATGTGTTGTTTAAGTGTTCCCTTTATTTTTTTGAGCAGTGTATTTATCACCATCGGGACAAGGCTCAAAGTCAGCGGTCTTTACCGCACCTGCCACCGCAGTTAATTCATCCTCACTCTCATGTTCAATTTCCTTCTATAGCACCACATACTCTTAACATGTTCCACTTTCTTCAATTTTTCCTGCCCGCCTTCTTACCGACCTATATGAGTTCCTTCGACTCCATCTCCAAATCCGACTACCATTAGGGCATAGGCCTACCCTTCATTTTGATCACCCGCCCGCTTTTGACGCTCGTCAAAGACAGTCTGTGCTCTTGTATAAAAAAATAGATGTGGTGCGTTCAAGGGGCCAGGGTTCCGGTTCCATAATCCACACAAACTAAAACCAAATTTACTTAACAAGCTCCAACTCCCTCCCCAAGCTCCGGGGCCTGAGTGGGTGGTACTGCTCGTGCCAGTACC